AGGCGATATGTTCCTCTGAAACATCAGTTGACTTTCAGTGGATACATGGCCTTATATCCTACTGTAAGAACCTCAAATTCTATTTTTCATACTTGTTTTTATTTAAAGAAACTGTCTTTCAGTATATTCTCATAGTGATGTATAATTTCTACTTTTTAAATGCCATGAACAGTTAGCATTAATCATTGGGGATGGTGGCCCATGTTCTTTTAACAGATCTTATATTCTCAGTAAAGCCAGATGAGAAGGGATGAAACATATCATGCAATGAAGCCCCTTTCAACGTTTCTTAAATCTTAATTGGTGCATGTTATATTAGCGTATATGTTAGATGTGAATAAGACAGTATATGTAAAGTGCCCATCTATGTGTATGTTCTTGCAGGAAGTACAAAAAATGAAAAACATTGATGAATTGGAGGCATTTATGCTGAAACATGGGGAAAACATAGTGGACATGATGGGAGCAGAGATTGACAGGATCGAAATGAAGTTACGAGTAAGTTCTTTAACTTCCTCGGAAACCCAGACGTTCCTCAGTAAATCACAAATCTCTTTTCCTATAGTAGGGTTCATATCTCTTGACATCTTGAGAGAACAAATGGGATTTTGCGGTCAATTTGTCTTTTGGTACAGACATCTGTAGCACCAGCAGCGATAGGAAACTGGATATGGGAGTGTACTGTTTAGGAATAGAACCAAACTATTTCATAAGTTTAAATGAATAGAAAATGAACTGAACCTGTATATATTACTCCCCTGAGAGCAATTGTTACTTTCTTTGACAATAGGGATTTCACTTTGGTAATAACATTTGACAACAGTTTTGTGTAAACTGTCTTTCTCATAAGTTGTTTAGGTTATATTTATGTTCTCTCTTGGTAACAGAGAAAACTTCTTGATGACCTTTTTCTTTCCTTACCTCTCTACATACACAAAAAACAGTTTGCGTACACAACACACTTTGGCTGCTCTGTTTTTATTCAGGCATACCTATATGTGTATGTTTTTAAAGCTATTATACACATTATGAACTATTTTGTGGATTGGAACAAACTCTACCACTTGTACTCAGTTTTTTTATTTTTATTGCTAGTGGGGTGGGACTAAGTCCCTTGTACTGCGGCCTCTTCTGGCCTATTGTACCAGCCCCAGATGATAGGTGAGGGTGATTGTGGAGCAATTGGTGGAATGAAGATTGGCAGTGGAAACCGAAATACTCGGAGAAAACCTGCCTCAGCGCTACTTTGTCCACCACAAATCCCACTTGACCAGACCCAGGATCAATGTACTGAGCTTACTAAGGAACATATTATATTGAAATGCTTTGAATCAGAAACTGTATACAAAATAATTGACATATATTGTTATGCATTTAAGTATACTAAAACACTAAAAGTTATATTACAAAATTACTTGTCTCAGCTAAAAAGAAAATGACAGAGCTGTGACATGCCTCTTATATCGTGGACAGACAACAAATTGAGATTGCTTCCTGGTCATGGGTTCCTTTTTATGTTATTGAGGCCAAGGTAGCCAGCTGATGTGATTTGAAATAATACTTTGTTGTGTAGGCGTGACTTTAGAGGGGGTATGTATTGGTGAATGTATTTATTGACCGCTTATACACACCACTCGGAGCTACAAGTAATTACAGCGCCACTGCTAATCTCCACACTTTACAGATCACTGCTACAAGTGCTAAGTCTTCTCTAGCCTTCAGTGTCTTCATCAGCCATTTCCTGGTAATGGCTTTTAACAGTGAAGATTCTTCAGCTTCTGTGCCCATGCCATTTCTGGCTGGCCACTGTCCCACAGCTCAACTAAGCTCCAAATTTGTCCCGTTTATAAACCTTCGTCACAGACTACATAGAGAACGTAGCTCTTCTATTGCTGCGCGCGTGTTTACCACACTATTGCATAGCTATGGTCATGGTGTGGATACAGAAAATGCTGCTCTTCTATTGTTGTGGCTGTTACCTAGCAATGGCCACTGTTTACATAGTCACCACTTAGCAACAGGTCTGTATGCCAAGTATGCAGTTCAGCAAAGTCTGGGAAAGTTAAAGACAGAAAGAAATATACAACAACTTTATTATCTGAGATAGAGTGCTGGCACATTTTAAAATGACATAGTTGCTTAGAAAGCTAGAAACAAGCAGTTGAGCTTTCTCGAAACTGTGTTTTATCAAATACAAAATCAATCTTAGCCTGTCTCCTGAATATGTATCCAAGACATGTTATCAAAATTGTTACTGTGTGGATAGATATAAGCAGTGATTAAATGAAAAATTAAGAAGCCCTAAAATGCTAACTACTTGGGTTAGAAACATGGAGTTTGCTCCTGCACTCTCAGAAAAATGCTGCCCTTTTCATAAATATGTGTTTCATCTGAGTTCGTGAAAAATTTGTCCAAAGACATGTGAAGCTTGATTTTGAAAATCAAAGTGGCTGGCTTAAACTGGACAACACATGTTTCTTACTGGTTACTGTGACATCAACAGTCACTCCTCAGACATCAAGAGGTATTGGGTCCTACTTTAGGCTTCCTCCTTATTAATAGTACAGAGTTAAAGAATTATCTACATGCTCATTCCTTCTACTCTTTAGATGAATACTTCAATGTAAATAGAGAATGATGTAAAATTAAGTTATATTAATTTTTAAGCTAGCCTGTACATATGTATGTAACCTTTTGACTTGTTCTGTATCCAAAGGTACTAACCTGCTTAGGATTTATAGAATGTAAATAAATTCAATTCAATTCAATTGCATCATGTTGTGATGTACTATGCACAGATTTGACTCCTAATTAACTAATTTTAATGTTTATTCATTGTACAAGTACTTCGCCATAAGTCTTCATCATGTGGTTCTTAATTAAATACAGGGAAAACTTCACATTTACTTGTACATATAAGGATGATTTTAAAGCAATTGACATGGCATTGGATCTGTTAGGCTAAATGATATATTGTGATATGATGCTTAAGAGGCAGAATAGTGGAGTCAAAGAGAGGTGTCATAGTCTGGAAATATGGAGAAAAGAAATATATCTTGCCCCTGTCAGGAATTGAACCCTAATTTCTCGGTTTTCCAGCCTATATCATTGTCACTATGCTGACTGAGCTATCTAGCTCTTAGCAGTTAGTACTTACATATCAAGTTTGGATGATATCCTTTTTATTTTATTGCAGAAAAATCACCCAGAAATCCGTCACTGCGACCTGGAAATCTTATAACCAAAGTTGTTGCAATTAATGTAAGTATGTACATGAAAAAAGTTGTATATACTCCAAATTTTTGTAATTTGTATATATTATTTATTATTTCAAATACATTTATATCGCAGATTGCAGTGTTGTTCCTGAAGATGCTGCCATTTTCAGGGTTGCCGACCTTTGTAACAACTAAATGTTGCAGTTCTCTTTAACTTGTAATTGCTCCATTTTATATTTATTATATTTATGATTGTAGTTTGTAAATGCAGCAGTATTCAATATATTGCTTCTGTGGCAGTCTGGTAAATAAGGCCTTAGATCAAATAATAGCCAAACTTTTTGGTCCATTGGGCAAACAAAGGACTCTAAGCACTGTTAAGGTTGGAATGATGAAGAATATACATACATAGCAAATGAAAATATTTACTTAATTACTTATGAAGCTGAGCCCTTCTTGAGGAGCCGCCAATTCTGCAGCTACTCAAGAATTTCCCAGCATTTTATGGAACCTGAAGGTTCATTACCGTGTTCACAAGAGCCCTCCATTTGTCCCTATCCTGAGCCAGATCTATCCAATCCATACCATCCCATCCTAGCTCTATAAGATACATTCTAATATTGTCCACCCACCTGCGCCTTGGTCGTCCCTGTGGTGACTTTCCTTTCGGCTGTCCTACCAATATCCTATATGCATTCCTCATCTCCCCCATTCATGCAGATCATTAGATTATTAAAATATGATGTGTGGGCTGTTCAAATTTCGTACTGTTTACAGAAATTTGTGGGTACTGTTGAAATTTAAAGTCTGAAAACTTGTTGCTGGTCTGTGCTATGGAACAGATATGTTTTTCAGACTGTGTCTGTGTTGTGAGATTATATATTGAAAACTCTGTTTTTTCATTGTCTCTCATGGTATAAGTGGACATGCGTTCCTAGGGAATTTTTTTCATCGTTTACAATAAAAACCTACCTTTGTGCACAATTGATTTCCACGCTCCTTTGGGGTACCCCATTTCCACTTGAACCAGAAGGCCTTTTCTACACATCTTAAATAAAGGTAGTACACTTTACAATTTGACGTTAAAAAAAAAAAGTAAAAGTATAGCTATCCCTGTAACAGGCCGTGAAGGCCCATAGGGTTCTGAGACGTTGAGGGTCCCACATTATCTAGACAATCAGCTCACAGATGGTGGTGAGGTTGTCAACCTTATGCGCCGACCGCGCTTTACTCCCCAGGAAAATTATTTCGTTAATTCCTGGTACTCATTTCTGTTAGAGGCTGAAGGATTAGGTCAATTGAAAAAAATCCAGTGACCTCATTGGGACTTGAACCCGTGATCTTCCGGCTTGTAGCATAGTGCCTCAACCAACCACGCTACCGTGTGCCCCCACAATTTGAAGTTAGGTAAGAATAATTAAGACACTGTTAGCTTTCCCCCACATCACTGGCACATGCACATGAGGTAGCCAGTGGCTGAGTACACGTCCAGTGGCAGCTCTGTCGCTTATACATATGCATATGTGATCTGAATTTCTTAACGAATTGTCAGAAATTAAGGAATATAGTTTTGGCAGACTGTTGTTGTTTTGTAATTTTATTTTTCAAAAGTTAATATTTATCCCAGATTTCCGTGATGGCAGATTTGTTGTCCATGTCACAAATTTTATAATCATGTTTTGTAATTTCTATAAGGGAAAGATTCCATAACCCAAGCATGAAAATCATCTCTCTGGTTGACTTTATTTTAATAGAAATGCCTTTTTCTTTGAAATAGAATCCTTGTCCAGCTCAGACAGTTTCAGTTGCCACTTTAAAATAAACCCCATTTTTATTTCCAACATTTGCATGCTTGACCATATACCTGGATTCAAATAAACTATTACTGGAACTTTACAGAAAAATCCATGCATAAATGTTTTATAGGCTTGTTCTTCAGAGATTTCTGGTTAAAATATGAGCTAGGTTATTGGTTCTCTTGTCAGAGGCAAGTTGTGGCTTTCCTAAACCTCTTCATGTATGTACAGGATATCCTCTTAAAATTAGCTATGACCATCTCTTTCAAAGTCCTTTCTTACTCATTATTCACAGTCACCTTCCCATTAGTGGTATATGACCTTAAAAGTTGAAACAGCATTGTTAAATAGCTTAATAATCAGTCAAACATGGTTTACCCTTCCACTGATCAAAAATTAATTCTTGGGTCTGACTTATTGGCAATTAATGTTTTCTGGTCAGGATCTCGGGTACCAAAAACCTGTATGGGTTTCCGAGTTTCACAACTTGCGATAGCACTTTTGCCTAAGCAGAGCATTGTAGTATTTGAGTAATTCCAATTGTTGTGGTACCCTGAAAAACACAGATCAAAATAATAAAACAGAAATGAGGTATGTAAGATTTGAGGCTTTCACGGCGGTGACTATGAAGAAAGCAGTCTTCTGGGATTTGGCACCGTGTATAAGTGGTGTTAACCGACGTTTCGGAGGAACGTATCCGTAACCGTAAACGTAACCGTTCTCACGGTCTTGTCGCTTGCAGATTTCTTATACTTTTTCTTCTACCCTGAAGATGGAGGCGATACGTTCCTCCGAAACGTCGGTTAACACCACTTATACACGGTGCCAAATCCCAGAAGACTGCTTTCTTCAGAAATGAGGTATTTTCATTAATGACATAAAACCAACCAAGATAAGTCAAATGAAAGAAGAGAATGAAAGATCCAGTTAATTTGGCCTACAGTTCTGAGCTGATAGAAATTAAAATTAAGAATGTCAGGTTGAAGTGACAGAATGTTGCTATATAGATGATTTATATTGGAATTTAACAGGCTGTTATGAATTGTGTATATCTTGAATAAGGGGAGAAGAAGGAAGACAGTAGGTTCCTGAATTATTCATAATTTTTATTGGTTTGAGACCCATAAAATTATACAAAGATTTAAAAATCTGTTACTGAAATAATTAAGAAAATATATTTTATCTCCTTTTCATTCATGTACTTAACATTGCCTTTGAAGGTCTTGACAGAAAAAAAAATAATTGAAGCTGTTAGAAAATCTATTTATATGAATTTAATAATGTCTTATATTGGGGATTGTATTATATTGTATAAATTCAGCAGTTTAGTCAAATTGTTGAAATGATTCACTTCAGATGTTGAGTATCAGAATTGTTTTGATGTTATCTGGGTTCTTTTCTAACTTTCATATATTCCTAAAACTACTGAACTAATATTGCAAGGGTCTGAAAACGTGTGACGTTTATTTCTGTGATATAATGTAATGCTGCTGAAAGTTTGTGTAATGGATTATACACAGATCAAAGATTCTTCTGTTCCCATAAACTTATCCAGCAGTCATACTTATTATTCTTTGTCTGAATTATAGGGAAGTAAGTATTTTTTAAGACTTGATGCTTTCATGGCAACTGAAAATGGTGAATATTCTTGGCGGACTAGCTACGTTAATTCGGAGTTGAAGTCTAATGTTCCAGAGCCCTTTGTCTCTTCCATCATGAAAGGACATAATGGGCAAATTCTGTTCTTTGTTCGCCCCACCTTAAATGGCAACCAATGTGACCTTTGAAGGACATTGGGCAGGGCCAAATGTAAATCTATCATAGCCCCATCTATCTAATTGCTTAATTTGTAACCTGACTTGCTTATATGATGATGTAAGAAGTATGTGAATTTCACATCTACAATGTCTTTCCTCTCTGCTCCTTATTCAGTTCATGTGAAAGAACTGTCACCATTATGTGATTGACATAGGTTAGGATTTATAATGTCTGTATTAAATATGACAAAGTATTCTTGTATTTTAGCTATTGCAATAATAAAACTTATTCTTTGTTTTTTTTATGTGTGTGTAAATTTCTATTAAGTTTTCTAGTTCTAAATCATTATCTCAGTGGAATCTTCCTTGAGTAGCTAATACTTATAGTTACTCATCTGGTGAAGTTCTATGTGTGAGATTTGAGATTTCCACAGTGGTATCATGCTTATGTCTTCTTGGATGTGACATGATATAGTTTGATAGACAGGTACTAGCATTTCAAAGGAAGCAGGTTTCTCCAAAAAATTAGAACTTTTCTCTCAAACAGCACAGCATCACATCCCAAAAGACCATAGTATTTGAAGAAATTCCATGCTTGTATGGAACGCAGTTGGCCATGCCTGTGTTTGACCGTGTCCAAAACTATTCCAATCCAGATCATTTTAATGTTATCCTCCCTTCTGTACACAGCATCCAAAATATGTCTTCCCATGAGGTTTTCCAACCAAAATTTGTATCATGTATTTCTGGTTTTCTCATGTTACATGCCCCAGTCCACCTCATCCTTTAAGATTAATCACCTAATAACAGGCAAAGAGTCAAAATTAGGAAGCCCCTCATTGTGTCTGTGTTTTAAGTTCACGTATTTAATCTACTCTTCATTTCATCAATTGTCAGTGTTTTTGTATGTGGCGATTTTCAGCAGAATCCACAGTGTTAGAAAACAGGGAACATAAATTCCAGTCATTATGTATGTACACCCACTTTATTTCTTGCCAGGTTTTTTTGGCTGTCTTTTCTTCTGTGATATGAGTACAAATGTTGCTTGCCTGGAAGATATATTACGTGTGCACTGTGTCTTTGAAACTTCAACTGATAAGTTACATGATCAGTATTTCTAAGTCAGTAAGTATTGTAACACAGTATGAGTGTAATTTTGGTCACTTCTGTGTGATTCATGTTGTTACTTTTGGTTGTCTCATACACAAATAGTGACATCCTCATATTATACAAAATGTGAAAACTGTACAGTGCATGTCTGTATTATGGACGTACAGGTTACAAAATTATTCCCTTATGTAAATTGTAAAACATGACCGTAAAGTTGAAGATACAGACCACAAATTCACCCTTATGCAAGGTTGGTAATAAATATGTTGTATGCACTATAACAGGAAGTTCCAAGTCAAACTAATTTTTAAAAGAAATGAGTATTTGTAATCACATACACACATGCTCCAAAGATGTAGGGGTATAGCAGATAATGTGGTTGCTCTTCCTATCTTAATTTATATTGTTCATTGTACTTTCCTTAATTAAGATTTTCTGGTGAGGAAACTGTAATATTTTAAATTTGTTTTAAGTTTATTTTTGTGTACCTGCTACTGTTTCTTATATGTAAGAAAAAGCATGTTTTTGTTATATATCTGGGCCAAAAGATAGGGGTTGCATGATGGAATTTCATGGTGTAGACACATTCTCAGTTCATATCCCTTCTGTAATGTGGGCTGTCCTATATTTATAAATGGAACAACAGCTGTTTACTGTAATTTGGCTTTCAAGCAACAAGTTTTTTTTCTTCTTGCTTTGACCCTTTGCACCTTGTGCATGAATTGCGTTTCCTGCAAGCATAACTGAGCACAGATACACGTGACATCACAGCTGCAGAGTCGTGATTCATCTTCAAGTGAAGAAATGTCTATAGAAGCTGTTTTATAGTGCTACACTAACCTGCCAAAATCTATATAGTGAACTGAGCAAAGATTTTCTGCTAATTGATGTTGTGATTGAACAGAAACACATCTGGACTCATGCAACCACTCATTTAAAACTTAATGATGCCGTAGTAGGGGGGAAAACTAAGAGTTCTGTGATCATACTTATTAAAGCCGAAAAAATCGTGTTATAAACTTTTCTTGCAATAATAATAATAATAATAATAATTCAATTCAATTCGTGTTTATTTACATGCAAACTTAACAGCACAGAGGCCAATGACAAAGTTGGCACAAGTACGTAGAAATACAGATATAACTAAAAGACAAAATACAAATAAGATGGTCTACATAATGGCATTAAATTAATAATAATTCCAAGAAAAATTAAAGTTAGCATTAACAGGTGAGAAAATAAAATAAATACATTTCGAATGGTTATTCCATTATGTGGTGAGAAAATACAATACACATACATACATACATACACACATAGAAGTTAATATTAATAATAATAATAACCCAATTCTTATAATAATAATAATAACTAAGCTCAGCTGTGGTATGTAAATGTACCTTTTAACATAAGAAGCTTGAGTATGTTCACCAGAGTCGGTATAAATGCCATGACAATGGCTTTTAGAGAAATAGGATGGGGTGCTATGGACTGGATTAATCTGGCTCAGAATAGGGACCAGTGGTGGGCTCTGGTGAACACAGTAATGAACCTTTGGGATCCATAAAATGTTGGAAGTTCTTCTTGAGTAGCTGAGCAGCTAATGACTCCTGAAGAAGGGCCTAGTTCCATGGAATTATGATGCTGGATTCCAAATTACTTAATTCCTAGAAATGAGGCATTGAACTATCATATTTATAATATGAAGTATGATTACTGAATAAATTCATAGGTTGCTTGGTGTTACAATAGGCATCCTATAGCGCTGAATAAAATATATAAAAATTATCTTGTATGGGGTGTAGATAATTTGGAAAGGATGGCCAGGGTGTATTTGAAGGTACCATCGTATAAATGCCCAGGAAATTCTGAGAGAAACCTGAAACTGCAGTGGAACTCCCATTTAAAATTCCTTAATTTAAGGTTCCCCCCCCCCAATCTAATGTTCAATTTAAACAATCCCAAGTCAATAATCTCAATGTTAAATTACCTCCATTTTAAGATTTCTCTGAGTTTAACATTCAAATTCACGGCTCCCAAACAGAAATCTTAAATGAAGTTTCACTCTACTCGGTCTGAATATCCAGTAATGTGTCTGAAATCTGAACCTGGTGTATCCTAAAAACAAGCGCAAATCACTACTACTACATGAACATGCTTGGTAACATGAATTATCAGCACCACTTAGCCTATACTTTGCAAAGTATAACCTTAGCCTTGGCTAGCCTGTTAACATTTCATTGCCCCTTAACGAATCCCTGTCATTCGGTATAGCTTTATCTCTGCTGTAACTTGTGTTGTTTTCTTCCAGCTCAAAGCTGATAAGGATATATGTTGATAATGAAGATGTTTTTATGAACAATGTGATTACATTGATTTCTGTGCCTTGGTCAGTGCTTTTATTCTTTAAATTAATATAAATGAAGAGTTAAGCAAAGATCTGCTTGCTGCCTTCTTGATGCTCATTTCTTAATTGACTTACTCTTCAGCCTGAAGATGAGGCGATATGTTCCTCTGAAACGTCAGTTGAATTTCAACAGACTACATGGCGCTATATCCCAGAAGACAGAACTCTTCATAACCACTGCTGTGTGAACCTCAGATCCTACACAGCGCTATATCCCAGAAGATAGAACTCTTCATAACCACTGCTGTGTGAACCTCAGATCCTACACAGCGCTGTATCCCAGAAGACAGAACTCTTCATAACCACCGCTGTGAGAACCTCAGATCCTACACAGTGTTATATCCCAGAAGACAGAACTCTTCATAACCACCGCTCTGTGAACCTCAGATCCTACACGGCGCTATATCCCAGAAGATAGAACTCTTCATAACCACTGCTGTGTGAACCTCAGATGCTACACGGCGCTATATCCCAGAAGATAGAACTCTTCATAACCACTGCTGTGTGAACCTCAGATGCTACACGGCGCTATATCCCAGAAGATAGAACTCTTCATAACCACTGCTGTGTGAACCTCAGATGCTACACGGCGCTATATCCCAGAAGATAGAACTCTTCATAACCACTGCTGTGTGAACCTCAGATGCTACACGGCGCTATATCCCAGAAGATAGAACTCTTCATAACCACTGCTGTGTGAACCTCAGATGCTACACGGCGCTATATCCCAGAAGATAGAACTCTTCATAACCACTGCTGTGAGTACCTCAAGTCCTACAAATATAAACAAGTTTTATTACCATCTTGGTTTCCTGTTTGTTCTTCATCTCTGTGTTCTTCCATTGCAGTTGTTCGCAGTATTTTCAGTTTTGAGAAAATTTTAGAAAACCTGAAGGAGAGAACAGTTGGAAGACCCAGGCATTGATGGAAGGATATATTAAAACAGTGTGAGGATGTGCACTGTGTTCAGCTGGCAAAGGACAAGGTCCAGTATGTGTTCTTATGACACAGTAATGAACCTTCAGGTTCGAAAAAGGTGAGGAATTTATTGACTAGCTGAGCGACTGTCATCTTAAGAAGTATTCTTCCCCATGGTATTATATTTTTTATGCTTTGTGGTTAAAAATATTTAAGTGCAAGGCACATATTTATTTTAGTTATTGATTTTTTATTCTTTAAAATGAAAATAGGCGTATTAGTTATATGATAACTGCACTCAGTGACTGATATGAATATTACTAGAATATCAACCCTCCAAACAGACGTTCTTTGTTGATTTCCTCAGTCCCTCATAAATACAAGGATAGTTCTTAAATTATTTCTTGATTCTGTCCAGATCTGTTCTAAGCCATAATTCGTTAATTATCATGTAGTTCGACGTTATATGTTCTGAAATACTGGCAGCTTCGTTAAAAGAAAACACAGCATCATATCCCAAAAGACAATTTTCATAGTCTTTTTAATTGCTGGTGTGGTGGGACTAAGTCCCTTGTCCTGCGGCCACTTCTGGCCTATTGTACCAGCCCCAGATGATAGGTGAGGGTGGTTGTGGAGCAATTGGCGGAATGAAGATTGGCAGGGGAAACCGAAGTACTCGGAGAAAACCTGCCCCAGCTCCACTTTGTCAACCACAAATCCCACTTGATCAGACCTGGGATCGAACCCGGGCCGCCGCGGTGGGAAGCCAGCGACTAACCGCTTGAGTTATGGCTCGGCCAAAAATCTGGTAGCGCCGAGAATCGAACCCGGATCTTTGGATTTGTAGTCAGGAACTCTGACCACTAGACCACAGAGGCGGTCATTGGGTCTGATAGTCTTTGATGTTAAAGGAAGGATGCAGAATAAGGGTATTAGAGAAAAGGGTGCTGAGGGGAATGTTTGGACTGAAGAGGGATGAAATGGTAGGAGGTTGGAGAAAATTGCATAATGATGAACTTAATAACTTAATGCTTTCCGCCAAATATAATCAGAATGACCAAGTCCAAGAGACTTAGATCGGCATGGCATGTAGCATGCATGGGAGGTGATTAATGCATGCAGGTTTTCGAAAACTGCATAATGACGAACTTTATAACTTGTTCTTTTTGCCAAATATAATAAGAATCCTTAAGTCCAAGAGGATGAGATGGGCCGGGCAAGTAGCGCGCATTGGAAGAAGGTTAATGTAAGCAGGGTTTTGGTGGGAAAGCCAGAAGGAAAGAAACCACTAGGGAGACCTAAACGTAGGTGAGAGGATAATATTAAAATGGATATTAGAGAAACAGGATGAGGTGGTATGGATTTGGTTGATCTGTGGCAGGATATGGACCATTGGTGGGTTCTTGTGAACATGGTGATGAATTTTCGGGTTCCATAAAAGGTAACCGATGTAACCGTTAGGTACATATGAATTATGCTTTCTTTGTATGTAAAAAGAAATCGCAAACATGTTAGTTAATTTTCACGGTTATGGTTGACATTTGTTCGTATTCTGAAGGTCCTACTTTTGAATCCCTATCCAGAGATCATAACCCTACGTGATGGTATTATTTATTTTCCTTGGCCCCTGAAACCAAATTTGCATTAGATCCATAGGCCATAATTAGTTCCTTACATGTACTTTCACATCTGTCGTTCACAATAATCCTTTCAGTGCTATGCGGTTAAAATTGTCGTTAAGTAACCAAAGAATTAATCAGCTACAGGGCGGGATTTTCATGTGGGGAGGCAATGAAAACGTGTAGGCCCCTATCAGCTGCAACACATTTAGATTATTGTAATTAATTTTTATTAGTGTAAGTTTTGAGGTTTACACGGCGATGACTGAAGAAAGTCGTCTTCCGGGTTTTGGCCGCTGCTGCTCTCTGCATTCACAAGCCATTCACCTGCTCTGAAGATGGAGGCGATACGTTCCTCCGAAACATCGGCCAAAACGAAGAATACACGGCGCCAAAACCCAGAAGACGACTTTCTTCAATTTTTATTAGTGTTTCTTGTAATTAAAAGTACAGACTAATTTTTTTGTGACGTCAGAAAAGGAAACTTCTCAGTGAAGTGTGGGTTCTATTTCTGTTTTGTGGAGGCCCCAGGACGACCGTTTCGGCCACTCGCTCTTAAATCCGTCTGCGATCAGCTGAATAGCAGTAAAGCCAGGATACGTTTTCATTCCAACTAGCAAAGTGCGTCTGTAACGGCTGTCCGGAGAGGCTACATTTTAACACATCCTCATCTGTCTTGCCCGATCCATCAATTGCACACGGCTTTTTGCATTCCTGTGTTTTACACACCGGAATCCAGCAGAACTGTGTGTGGTCATTGACTTGAGTTACCTGAACACCATACATAATTTGTAAACAAAACATACTGGATAGGACCCAGCAAGATAAAGTCTTTTTGCTAACGTTACGGTATTCGCTTCACGGATAAAAGTAAACAAGATTAGCATCAAATGTACACTTAAACAGACGCGTTAAGCGAAAGGAATTAGAAATGAAATAACTGAGATAACGATGAGATACGAAACATTGAATTCACGCCGAACTGCTCTGTGGTGGGTGGTACTTTTTCAGGTTAGCGAAAAGTCAAAATTATAAGCCTATACTGCATGGATAAGGAATCGATATTAAGGCTTCAATGCTACGTATTTATTTACTTACTAATAGAGCTGAGTCCTTAAGGAGCCGCCAATTCTACAGTTACTCAAGAATTTCCCAGCGTTTTATGGAAGCCAAAGGTTCATTACCGTGTTCATTACCGCCTTCCAGCGGTCCCTATC